ATATATATATATATTTTAATATATATATATATATATATATATATTTAATAAATATATATATTTATGTTTTTAATATATTGCTTTCCAAATAGTTATATAAATTTTTAATACAACTAATTACTAATATATACTTTTTAATATATTTTTTAATTGACATTTTAAATTCAAATTTTAAATAATGATAAGAATTAATTAAATTAATTGTAATAAAATTTGAAATTAATTATAATAATTAGTAATTAATATCAAATTTAATAGTTATTGTAATAACTATTATAATATAATTAATTAATTTTATATTATTAGTAATTTATTATTGTTATGATAATTAATAAATTTTTTATCAAATAAATAAATTAATATTATTTTTATTTATTAATATAATATTTTTTTGTTATAAATTATAATAATTAGAAATTATAATTATTGTTATAATTAATTAAAAAATATATTGTCCAGCCGGCGGTGCCGGGCGTTTTCGGTCTGTCCAGCCCCGGAAATTGGGGAGATGGGGCAGCACCCAGCCGGCATAGCCGGACGCCTACGGTGGGCGACGGGTCGCCTTTTGGGCTGTCCGCAATCACAGACCGGACAGCCCAGCCGCGTCCGTTATTCTCGACCGAACGCGGCTCCAGATTTAAAAAATATATATATATTTAAAAGAGAAAAAAAATACCTTCCTACTGAATAATGCTTTGCTGAGGTCGTAGTATTTTTTGACGTTTTTTCGATTTTTTTTTAAAAATTCAAATGGCTCATTGAAAATCGAGAATTTAGAGAGATAGAGAGAGTAGAGAGAAGTAAGAGAGAATTAGGTTAAGGGAAAATTTGTAAAAGGGGGGTACGTAGTAATAGGGGGCGGTGAATAGCGATTTATTATATATAATTGTACATCAAATTAACCTAAATAATTAAAATATATTTTTATTTGTTATTCTTATTATATATTAATTTATTATTATAAATTATTTTTTTTCATTATGTCAATATTTCATATTAGTTTAATTAATAATATATTTATCATTTAATATATTTATATAAATGCATAACAAAATATATATATATTTTTTTATATAATTTTCAGTATTACAGATTTGACTCATGGGTTAAATTGAAATATAACCAAAATTTATTAAAAATGCAAACAATCCCCTATACATAATCTAATTCTAAAAACAATGGCCCGATTTTCAGATCTTCAAATCCCCTGTATCGCCACCTAACACGTCGACGACGGCGTAGCTTGAGCTGCAGGAGGCGGCTGATGTCGATGCAGCAGGTTTGTGGTGGATGTCGAACCGAGCTCGTGAGGACTAGAAATTTTACTAATTTTGATTTGATATTTAATTTATAAAAATTACCTTTTTTCTTGAACTCCTTCAAAACCGACAATGTATGAGGAAATCAATTCTCGGTTTGGTGACGATCACTTCTTGTTGTTACTCACTTTAGGAATCCAAATGTCTTCCCTCTAATCGTATCCACCTTTTGAACTTTGGTTCCGACTATAGTTTCTTCGCTAGTAGAAACTAC